GGGGGGGCTCCTCTGTTGCTCGGTACCAGGGTCAGGAAGGTTAAATTCCAGTGTGTGTGGGGGGCTGGGAGGCCCGTGGAGAGGCAGGGGGTTGTCATCACAGAGGGAGGGAGGGGCTGGAGACGCTCGTGGGTGTATTCTGCGAGTCATATTAGCTCTAGGTGGGGCAGGAACTCGCTCTAAATGTTTCCCAGCAGACAGGAAATCAAAACAATAGCAAGTCCACTAGCGTGAGTCTTCTTCTGACCAGGAAGAGAAACATATACAGTGTGCGTTTATCGCCTTTATCTAAAATGAGAGCAAGTCTTCCTATTTCCACACAACCATAGGACTGCAGCTAACACTAATTTTCATTATTTAAAATGTGGACTCATTAGTCCATTAATAGATTCATGGATTGACACAAGAACCAACTAGAATGACACAGTAGAGCGTCTATATCTGCCAAGGCCCAACAGTCCCCTTCAATTCAATCAAGACGCACCAAATTTCCCACTCATAGATATCAGTTTCCTGAATATACCTGATGTTTTTCTGGTGCAAACTGGTTGAAAACAAATCCTCCTATTGTGATAATTACATCACTGTTTTGTTAATTAAAATAATCAGTTATCAAAATTGTCGCTGATCATTTCTGTCTGATTGAGAGTCGTAGTGAGTCTTCAGTGTTTGTCCTTCATGACACACTGACCCCGGTCAGCATCACAAGGTTTCTGATTCCTCTGACAAACAGAGATGACGGTAATTAAACCAAATGATTTTACAGGATGAGAAAACAAGGAGGGGGGGGTCGAGCTCCTAAATTCCTCCCATGAAAGAGCATTGGTCTTCCCTTTGTTTCTTTTTTTCATGGACCAGTCCATTGTTACAGCCCCCCCCCCTCTTGTCCCACTTCAGGATAGGAGGAAGGGAGGAGGGGGGGATGAAGTCACAGACTCCCGACCAATGGGAGTGCCTGGCCTCGTCCAGCTGGGTGCGAGCAGACCAATTATCTGCTAGAGATTTAAACCAAACTGTTGCCGCATGAATACCATGAGTCTGAGGTGAGAGGAGGTTGGCAGAAGGGAACAGTCACTGCTGGATGCATCACCTTTAACTACTATTTACACAGAGCTCATATCAGGTGTGACTCACTGTAGGTAAATGAACAGGTTGCACAGACAGTCTCCTCCTCCTCCTCCTCCTGAGTACAGACGAGGCCTCAGTTCATAGCAGCATTTTCTAAAACAGTGTGCGGTCACAGATGTGTTCCAGGTCAAAGCTCTGTTAGCTCTGCTGCTGCCGCTCCATGTTTCCTGAACACCGTCAGACTTTTCCTCTGCAGAGCCGTCGCATTTCCTGCCTTTTCTGTGTCACGCATTCCTTCACATTGACTCAAAGGCCCAACGACGAAAAACACACTGATAAGAGTGAATAGAGGCTCCATGTTTGATTAATGATTTCACTGCAGTGTTACACTAAAACTCACAGTCTGGGAAAGTGGAAAGTAACACAGTCTAACATAGTTTTTGAGGCACAAATATGCAGCAAATTGTGCACTTTAAAGTACCTGGGGATTAGGCTGTTCAACGGATTACTTTCAAAATCGATTAAACTGAAAATGACTCTATATGAAATATAATTTTGACTAAAAATGCCTGAAGTAATATACTGAAGTTACTATTTTTTATTCTGATTTCAGTAACATCAATACAAAATGCCACTGGACAGGTGCACAGCGTAAAGAAGGAGGAACAGTAACCACATCATATGAAACTAGTTGCTAAATATATTCAATCAAAGGTCTAAAACTCCAGAATAGAATATTCACTTTATTCTTATTATAAGAAATGTCAAAGAAAAGCATAAAAACTCTTTATAATAGAGAAGCTCTGGCTAATTTGATGAATCAATTATCAATTATTATTAATTCTCTATTGATTCGTTAGTTACAGGAATAACCATTTATTATTATAATCATTGCAGCTTGAGTAAAAAAGATACCATTTTATACACATAGTATATTACAATGTGTATTAACTAGTACACTGTTCTTGTATAGTATGAAGTATAAAGTAGATTCCTGATGTTCACTATTGTACTTCAAAGGTTTCCTGTACTTATAGGCCTGTAACAACACTGTGATAAACACATGTGGAATATTATTATCATGTAAGATGGTGATGTTTACTATAAAGTACAATCAGCACAATATTAATCAGCACAAACAATAAATCCAGGGATTAGCAGCTTCACCCCATCAAGCCCCTGATGTGTTCTTAGTTCTTAAAAACGGAGTGAACCATCTCTGTGAATGATGTTTTCAATCTTATCTAAATCACACAAATGGAGATGCAGAAGAGAAACAAACATTAAACTTAAAGCGCACAGCCTGAGTGGAGTAACGGTGCCTGGGATAATGAGGCGGGGAGTTTATAGGATCAACCTGTTGCGTAAAAAGGAGACATGTTATCGAGGGTTACGCGTTTTGTAGAGTAAGAAACAGACTTACATGAAGCTCCCAGTAAAACAGCCAGCTGGTACAAGTTCATCCTAGTGTCCGTGTTAGAGTAAAGTGCACTTTATCCGCATGTTGCTCATCTCGTCGTGCGCAAAAACTGCAGCTGCTGCAAACACAGGAGGCTCCAGAGAGAAGTAACGGGACTGTACCACTTCACTCTCAGAGGTGAGTCCCGTCAACGACACGACCACGCAGCGCCGAGACCCGACCGCTTCTCCCGCAGACGAGTCCACGACACACACCGCGGGGGTTGGAGCTGCGGTTTGCGGTTCTTTATGTCTCCCTGCAGCGGCTTTAGGAGCAGATGTCTGCGGCAGGGTCGAGAGGTCTGCCCGGCGTGAGTGTGGAGGAGGGAGGGGGCAGACATGGGGGTGGGGGGGTGGTGGGGACTTGTTTGGTCGATATATCGATAATTATCACGATAAATGTCACATTATCATTCATTTTTAGGTTTAGTGCGTAGGTTGTGGGATGTTTCAAAATCTTGATGTGTGTTTTCTTTGTGTTAACTTAGGGCTGGGCAATAAAACAATATCAATAATTATTGCAGTATCATTTTCATCAATAGCAATATAACAAAAGATGAATATATATTAATATAATTCTTATGCAAGCACGTACTGACCCAATTTTCTTAATTTAAATCCATTTAATTAACTTCAAGCTCTTACATTCAATAGGAATCATTTACCACACAATGTGAATTGTTTAATTAATATAAAGAATTGAAAAATTCAAGTAAAACACAAATTCAACATAAAGTCACGCTCATTTTGCCTCTCAATCAAAGACATACAAAAGAAAAAAAGCTGTAATAAGCTTGGCTTTACAGAGACGTTCACCACACACATAAAAAAATTGGCATCATTACAAAATATTAAACAGACATTTCAAATCAGATATAATGCAAAGAAGTTATTCATAATATTCTGAAAATGTTTTTACTTTTTCATTTATAAGATTTGGATTTGGAAGGATTTTTTAAATGAAAATACAAAAAACACTTAAAAAGAAACAATACTTATGTCAAAAACTATTCAAAAATGAAAATATCTTTACCATTAGATTTTGAATTTCTCTACTCGTGATATGCACAGCATGTTGACAGCACGACATTTAGGTTTAGTTAATTAATTCAGATTTTTTGTAAGAGTAACATGCTTATGGTTTCTTTACCACCTGTTATTCTCCTATAATCAGGATACCAATACATTATATGTTTTTATTCACTGTTGTAAATATGAGTTGTATGGTTTTTACTATAATATAAGCCAGGTTGATTTGGATGATATGGATTTATGCAACTCAGACCTTCAACCATGTTAACCCAACCAGGTTAGCTACCCTAAATTAACACGGGTCTTTAAAGAGCGTTCAGTAAGAAGGGATTACTCATATCAGTGCCTGTATTGATCGTCTCTATAATCGAGTCGATCTCGACTGCCACCGTAACGATCACGAGGCTCATCGAGTCGATCTCGGCTGCCACGATAATTATCACGTTGGTCGTCAAGTCGATCTCGGCTGCCACGYTAATMATCYSGWTGMTCGTCGAGTCGGTCACGGCTGCCACGGGAACGAGGGGGTTGTTCGTCGAGTCGGTCACGGCTGCCACGGGAACGATCACGTTGTTCGTCGAGTCCATCACGGCTTCCTCTATGATAGTTAGGTTTATCATCAAGACGATCACGACTCCCACGATAGTGATCATGCTGGTCATCCCGGTAACGCTTAGAGTCGATGTCACTGCCCTTGCCACCATCTCTTTCTTTACCACTGCTGTGACTGTTTTGATCATCGTCAAACTTGTGAGCAACTGTAACAGTGTAACTGTTTAGGGGAGCAGCTTCCATGTCTTCGTGCTGTTTGTGTTCCTTTGTCTCGATGCTCAACTTGTCGTCCAAGTACTGCTCTCCAGCCTCAGGAGCATCTCTGTCATAGAACTTCACTTCTCCAGGAGCACTAACAGAGACAAACAGTGATACTAATAATCCATACACTGTTATTGGTGTTGCTGGTAGATTACAGTGGTGTAAACACACAGGACATACAATACGTACCCCTCAGCATACTCTTCCTTTTTGCCCTTTTTGCGGCAGTAACAGAAGATGACGATCCCCAGAAGCAGGAGACCAGCGAGGACTCCTCCAATTATAGCTGCAGTGGAGCCCATATTCATACCACCTACAGAGACAGAAAGAAACACAAGGGTTTTCACACTCTACTTAGTCCAGGGTTAGTTCAACCACCATTTACAGCTTCATTAGCCATGTTGAATGCAAGTTTTAAAACAGAGTTGGTTTGTATAGATGGGCCATGTGTCTCCATTCCTCCCATTGTGCAAAAATAGTCAAAATATCTTTGATACAGGGCACTGCCATTTTGTTTTATCCTTCTGTCTATGACATCATTTTGAGCGAGATTTTGTAGATCTGATCCAGGTGTGGATCTGCGATCTCCCATCCTCTAACATGGAGGAGGTGGATTTTATGACCTTTTCTGCAACCAGCCACCAGGGGACCATCAGGATGATTTTGCTTCTCTTTTTGGGATCTGTCATGTCCACCGCCTTTACACACAATCAATGAACATGTGAGGCCCACAAACGAGAAGTGTTAAAGCTAAGTTAATTGTATTTTTGGGCCACCAGAGAGCAGCAGAACAAACCATAACCACAAGAATAATGGATTATTACCTAATCAATGACTTTGCAGCCTGATATTGTTGATATATTTTATTGTAACTCATTATTAAGCATAATGAATTTGCTATACAAGTGTATTTTTTAATTATCTCCTTGAGAGGAAAGTCTGATATTTTAATGGTCAAATGCATTGCCATGTTCAATAGCCTGCTGATAACCTTTTTCTTATATTTGGTGATTGCAGGATGTAGTGTACACTGAGTTTCTAATAGATTTTGTGATGAAAGCAGCTGCAGGAAATAAGGTTTAAGGACATGGAACAGGCAAATTAACTTAAAGAGACTAAAAGGCTCAGAGGAGCTGATTTAAAAGTTATTTGAGGGCTCATTGTGAAGAGATGAGTATGTAAATAATGTCTTAACACTCACCAGGTGTTACTGCTAAGGTAATGTTGCAGCTGGCAGTGCCGACTCGATTTGTTGACATGCAAGTGAAGAACCCTGACGTCTCTCTGGAAATATTGAAGAGAGACAGAACCCCGTCCTCTGAAACACAATGAGATGAAGAGCCATTCGTTCATTCTGACACAGATGAATGGAAAACGAACTCTTGGATTTCTGCCTCAACGAAACATACTTTGAGTTGCCCTAGGTGGAAGTACTCTGGGAAAGTTTTCTACACTGGAGCTCTTCCATTCATAGGTAGGTTTCGGGGATCCCTGCTCAGAGATGCAGGTGAGGGAGATGTCCTTCCAGTACTCTGCTTTCCCATGTATGCTGCAGACCGGCGGAGAGGGCGGCACTGAGAGAAAGCAGAATGAAAAACAGTCACTTTATCTAAAGGGAGCTCTATTCATTCAATATAATCATGGAGGCAATGTATGAATACACTCATTCACAGCAGACAGATAAATAAAGTACATCAGTGGTTAACTCTCACCCAGGACCAAAAGGGAAGTGGCGGCAGTTGTTGTTCCCTCGTCGTCATTGGGGATCAAGACACTGCACTGGTAACGACGGCTGTCCTTCACGGTCACCTTGTTCAGGGTGAGTGTGCTCACATGGTTTTCTAGGTCGACCTCCAGAGTGGCTCGGCCTTCATAGGCAGGTGCAATGTCAACAGGATTATTCTTAAAGTAGGTGGCCACAGATTTCTGGTGATATAAACACAAACAACATTTATTGCTAAGACAATATACAATTTAATGGTCAATATAATATAAAAATAAAATGTGTTAACAATATAATCAGTGCTGTGCCACAAATAACCATGACATAAATGTGAGGTATAAGAGGCTGTACAGAGTGAAAAGTTATATGCACTGAACTAAATGAATCAATTAATCGATTGTTGATTAAATGTCAAAATGATTATTGAAGCATTCCCCACTTCTCTGTTGAGTTTTTGTATCTGTCGCATGTGACTGTAAAATGTATTTATTTAGATGATGGGCTGTCAGTTGGACAATACAGGTCATTTAAAAATATTGACTGTAGTCATAAAGCAACACTATGCAAACTTATAGGGAGAATGTCTTTTTAATTCCCCCTAAAGGTCTGTTGTTGCTCTTTGTAACTCTGAAACTTTGGGTATGATCAGGTGTGAGAAGTGTGGGATTGATAGTCGCAGGTTAAATCAACAGAATTAGGTCCAGCAAGTTCAAGAAGAATGCTGAGCTGACAAAAAAGACTAAGAAGTCATTAAAAAACAGGGTTAATCTCCACGATTCAGTGAGGAAACTGAAAAATTCAAAACAGAGTTTGGTGAATTTGTCACAGCAGCAGCTCTTCTGGTTCAGGAAGCTGGGGATCATGGGTAATATTCACCATTCAGTTGTGTTTATACATTAAGTGAGTGGGACATCACAGTCAGAGCTCTGTTCTTTAGTGGCTGCAGAGGGCGCTGTTGCTTGGTAGAAGTTTAATCCAATTGTGTTGCTGGGTTTGAACGTTGACCCTTCAGTGAATCAAGTTTCCACAAGTTGGCAGCAAACCACTGAACCCACAGCTTTTGCCTCCTATATGAGGAGTTACCAGATATATTCACCATGAGATATTCATGGTCTTCAGAGGATGCACCTCAATAACTTAAGTGATTCCCTAACCTTCCTGATGCAGATGCAACATTTTCACTTAGTAAAATATTTCAACTGTCACTTGAAGGACAAAATGTTTTTAATTAGATTAATACAGGACAACTTACTCTTTAATAAAGATACTATTATCTAACTTGTTTACTGTGAACTTGCATTTGTAACTTATCAAGTATTGAAAGGACACCCTAAAAAAATTAAACTATATTATATACTACAGTGAATCATCGGTTTTGGCAAGTGTCCCTTGTCCATTTAAGGAAGTGATATTGTCATGGACTTAATTCAACAATAGTCTGTTATATACATATCGAAACTCACAGGTTTATTTTAGTGTGCAACATTTTAGAGTTAGGAGTTAATAAGAATGTGATTGAGAACGTTATCGGTAATAAAGAAACATAACACTTCACGCCCACAGGTTTTACTTTACAATCCCACCAGCAGTTGAAATAACCCTGATGACCTCATCAACCATTTTTCTTTCTCTGACTTGACAAAACCACAGGAAACTAAATGTCCACAGGCCCATAAATACTCAACATGGCAGGTCAACCACAATATTTCCGCACTTACAAAATATTCCCATGACATATATCTTTACAGGCATTTAGATTGAACTCTTACCATTGGATCGTTGATATTTTCGGGGTCGACCTCCCAACTGAGGACGAGTGTGCTGTAGCCTGTTCGAGCTGGGATGAAGGAGCAGGTCAAGGAAACGTCACTTCCACTTGCAACCATGTATTCACGCTCAGGAATAGAAACCTCTAAGCTCCTGCAGCAGGGCAGCACTGAAACAACAAGCAGTACCTAATAACAGATAACCAGTCTCTGCCCTCCTCAGTTTTATTATAATATTATTGATTATTTTGTAAAATTAATGACATACAATTTTGTGACATGTTACTCCAGAGAGAAATTGTTTGAATCTGAACAACTCAAACTACATTATGTAATTTGTATTCAATGTATATTTTACATAAATAGAAATGAATAAATTGAAATGGTATAAATAGTTTAATCTGCAGATCTTTCTTGAGTTAAACCAAATCCTACTTCCGGTTGAGTAGCGATACGTTAGATTAATGATTAACACAGGTGATAATGGCACAGGGGTGTGGTGGTTCTTAGAAAAGAGAAAGAATGAAAAAAGTATGAAACCAACCTGTGAGAATCAGAAACAGCTTTCGCCATCCAACCTGCTTCTTTGTCGTCATCGCTGTAATGGGATAAAATCATCCAGACATTAAAAAATATCTAAAACTGATGGTCTCAGTCCAGGAGCGAGAGCCTGCCCAACCTTCACGGTGAACTCCCAGGTACAGAGATTATGACTCTTCCAGTTAAAAAGGCAATAGGTACGGATCACATGTCACCAGAGGACCAATCATTGACGAAGAAGAAGTGGAACTAAAGTGTGAATGCCTCAACGTGACAAACACAGTCTGAACAAACATAGCATTTTAACTGACCCTCACAGATTTATTCAGCATATATGAGCACTAGATACATATTTTGCAAACCACACTGTAGCAGTCAACAAATATACGTAGTAGTTAATATATTTGTTTACAGATATATTTCCTCTTATAATGCCTCACACAAAGTCTACAGGTATGCCAGAGTAAATGACTGAAAACAATATAGTAGTGATAACAATATTACCAATAGTAAGAAATATAAACAAAAATAAAGAAAGGTTTGGGATGGAAAAATGATTGAAAAGTAATGTCTGACTAATGTCAACAACTCTGTATTAAAACAATACAGATATTCTGGAATAAAAAGCTCAGTTGATCACAGTCAGTGTGTTTTTATCTTCCTACAAAGCCACTGTATTTGTGTCCATTATGTACCAACAACTGGTGTTTTGCTCAAATTGCCCTGCAGGGGGCAGCATTACACAGAACCCATTGCAGGAGTTCTATACAAAGAGATGATCACTTGTCTCTTAGTTCAGCAAATCACAGACAATATAAAAACATCATGAAGGTACCTGAGGGATGATGACCTTTGACCCTGCTGCTTTAATTAGCTCTGGTTTCTGCTGGTTCTGGGTGATTGGCTGTTAATAGATAATAACACACTATCACCCTTCTAAAAGCAAATGTTCAATTAAAGGGCCGTTCCAGTATATTCACATGTTCACATATTTAACTTGTTAATCTTGATTTATTTACATTTGAACAGTTTTACATGTCTGTTTTTCCTACGATTCAAGATGCCTCTTGCGTTCCGATCGTATGGAATTAGACTAACCTGGTGAGGGGCCCCAGGGCAAACATTAACTGCTGAGCCCTCATTAACCCCTCTGTTACCACCCTCTGTGCAATGTGTATGAAGTCTGACCTGTTCTCATCCACAACACTGGTACACTAGACAATACTTTCAACTTCATTAAACACAGAGACAGTATGGAATTAAACAATTTTATTTACAACTTTTGTTCAGTCGCCTAATGAATATGTACCATTTCATGTAAAAAAAATATATAATATGAGCTATGAATTAAGTATGATACTATATTAATCAAACATTAAAACTCATAAGGACATAAAACTAAACATTTAAAGTTTTACAATATTTGTCTAACTCATGAGGCATCCATAAGTGGTGTATAAACAGTTAATGAATAAGTATTGTATATTATAGCTGTAATCACATTAATAAATCATCAACACAATATTTATTAAATATTAATACACATTCAATAGTCCTAAATAGTGGAAATAGGTTTTTGAAAATAAAGTCAATTTGCTAGATTTTCTTCTGGATAATTCAGGTTGTAAAACAAAGTGTTTGTAATTTGAAATTAAAAAGAGTAAATAATGTTGGTACAGTCCATGTGTAAACATCCATCTTTGACCTGTTAATCTGTTTCACTGGGTGAGGGAATCTAGTTAGGTGATGTAATTTAATGGACAGTGAATCACACTGGGTAAAATGTAGGAAGTGGCTGGAATAGAAGGAAATCTGCCATTTTTTCAGGATCCATGCCAAAATGTATTGGGTTCTTTCTTGGTCCATGTCTGATCCTTCCACCAAGTTTTGGGAATATCTGTTCAGTAGATTTTGCGTTATCTTGCTCACAGACTAACAAACCAGGGGGGAGATTTCCATCTAAAAGTCTTGAATAAAGATATGCAGACTATGTGAGATGAAGTATTGTATTTAGTTTGAGCTCTATTTATTTCATTTTTCTTATTTTTTTTTTCTTTTACGTTGCTGAGCTGACCTGTTATTGTACAACACTTTCCATGATAACGTTAACCTTTACCTTATCAAAATCAGAAACAGGGTCAATATCTGAATCGGTTTAGACAAACCTTTACCGTAGTGTGTTTGCTTAAACAGGTAAATATTATAAACCTGTAAAAAGGTGTGTGCAACATGAACAATAGATTTGATGTATGTACAGTACGACTGTAATCAATGACAGAAAGTTCAAGTCTCACAGTCACAGGTGAGGAAATGTATGCAATACATACAACTTGAGCTTTCAACTAGAGCTCGAAGATGATGGTGATAACAAAACTTAATTTACAAAGTGTGTCATGTTGTTGTACCGATCTCAACACACATTTAATCGCCCTAACATGACTCTGAGTAGTGAATCAATCAATCAAATACACGTTCCTTGATCTGGAACCGGCTGAAGACTGATCTGTCTGACACAGCCTGTTATTAAATCCAAATATGACTCATTACCGACAATGCTCTGTCACTCTCACTCTCGTGGCTCTTAGTATTTCATCATGTGCGATTCTAACTCTCTATTTAATTTGCTTTAAATGACTTGTCACGAAGAGCTCTTTTTTATTTCATGTCACACGAATAAAACCCTGTTGTTGTTGTTGTTGTTGTTGTTGTTGTTGTTGTTGTTGTAGAAGGTGTCAACGTGCTGTGGTTCAGATCCGCCCACGTCCTTCTGGGTAATTTTTAAAAGCAGTGAGATGATTATTTAAGTATGTAAATAAGTCACAACTAACAACACACACTCTGTTACACTGCTGTGTGTGTGTGAGTGTGTGCGTGCGCGCGTGTGTGCGTGTGTGCTACACAAACACACACACACACACACACACACACACAGAGGCAGCCAGGCTCAGGGCTGGGATTTCGGGTTAAATATTCAAAATGGCGGACGGAGGAGCAGCGAGTCAAGATGAGAGTTCAGGACCAGGTAATGATTACAGCATTTTACATATTCATACTCATATTCAAACTGTGTTAGTCGCAATGTATCGTAATGGGGACGCGGATCAAACCGAGGCTGGCTCGCAGAGGACCGCCGGTGTTGAGCTGCTGGAGTTTTATTTTATTTTTTTACACCCAGCGACTCCAACTGTAATTTGACAAGAGGAGGAAACGGGCTATTGCGGTGCGACGGCAAATTACATGGAAACATGCCTCCCCCCTTTGTGTGATTAGACGTGTGTACGCCGCTACATATTCATACCAGCGCCCACTAACGCGGTTTAGCATATTTTATTAGTAGTCGGCGACGCGGCTCCGCTCGTGTTTGACATATTTAGATGTTTGACTAGCGCAGGTTGATTGAAGCGAGGATGCTAGCGGGGCTAGCGTTAGCTCGCCTGCTAGCGCTCGGGCTTTGTGTTGATGCTCGGCGGAGCTGTTTGAACGAGCTTTGCATATTCATTTCGTCGGTGCTCCGGGGCCCGGTGGTGGTGGCGGCGGCGGCTCTCGGTGCTTTTTTAACCGCTGTTTGTGTGCATGTGTCCGGGGGGAGATATCTTTGTTTGGTGAAGCACACGGGGGCAGATCTGTTAACACGGAGCTCGATGTGATTTTTTTTTTTTTTTTTTACAGTATGAACCAGTGCAGCTTGTGCCCCTGTGAAAGAAGAAGACCTGCATTGTTGAGGTCTATTGAAGTAAAACCAGACCACTAGTTTTTATATCTTTTTTTACAGCAGAACATTTTTTTTTTTGCCTCAGCCTTTTGTGTGCGCGGCGCAGAGGGAGAGCTCCCGGCAGCCTGTTGTGTTATTCATGCGGGCCTGCCTCCACCGGAGTGCGGACTTCAGCATATTCCACCGGCCGACCACGGGCTGGAGCTCGCCCTTCACAAACACTGAAATACATTTGTATTAAAACAATTGTAATAAATAAATAAAGCTGTGTGAATGTGACCGGCTGCGAGTCTATGAAGTTGCTTGGTTCAGATGCTAACTTCACGTTTGTGATGATTGAATTCTGCTTACAGTCCCGTTGGGGGGGGTAGCTAACAATGGTGGACCAGTGTTTAGTAGAACTTCAGTTCAAACTACAGTTTGATAGAAGTTGGGCCAAGCTTTTGTTTGACTTTTCCTAACTTGAAGTGTCTGCATGGGGCTGTTGTTAATCTGCCTCATTTGAATATGTAATTTATTTTTTGGATCCTTTCATAGCTGCTGGATGAGTTATTTTTTGTGTGTGCAGATTAACCCTGTTTCTGCAGCGAGTGCATGCAGGAGTTTTGATCCAGTGAATACACAGACTGTACCTGTGTGACACCCCCCCACCCCCAACCACTTCTCACCCCTCACCTCCCCCCTCAGCTCGGGGAGGGGTAGTGAGGCCCACTTCCGGAAGGCCACAATAATAACAGGCAGGGCATTCTTACCATTCACTCTGCAGGTTTCATGGCCGGGCAAGACACAGCTTGACACAGCCTGATGACACTGTCTTTTTCAGACTCATGTGCTTTGACATTGACTTGTATTTGAATGAGGTTAGTCCGTTGTAACGCTGCTGCAGAGGAGGGGGGTTTTCACTCTCCTTTGCTCTCACAGTGAAGTAAGTTGGGGAGGTGTTTTTACCACCTTTAGCTGCTCTCTGACATGCATGAATGCAAATCTCAAAGTCAGTTTCTCCCCCCCAGCATTTTTGGGAATTTTTCCCAGCCAACTGCCAAACGTCCGAATGAGCCCATGTGAGAATTCCGGCTAATTAGGTGTGTTGGTGGAGTTTCTAACATGCAATGGGTGCAAAACAAAAGAAACAACACAAAAACAATGCTAATATTTTAGGATTTAAAAGACTTTGTTTTGGAAAGATGGCAAAATCCTTTTGGGGATAAGGGCCGTTGCCTGTGTCAGTGGGTTTAAAACAATAACCTGTGATCTCTGCAGCAGAATTTATTCGTTGTGTCCTGTTTTTGTGAACACGTCTGACGTGGACAATGTCCTGCTGCATTCTACATGTGTGAAAGTCTGATATTTTTCTGATATTTATTACTATGTCTCAAAATGGTCCAAAGTGTCCCCATTTTCAAAAATACATGTTTATGACCTGCTCTGACCGTGTTTTTGTTTTGAGTGGAATTTTTTCACTTTCTTTATAAATCAAAATAAGATATCGAACAGAGCTGTTACTTGTGTCTTTTAAATGTTTGGTCTGTTTAAATAATGCAATTCGTCTTTACGTCTCAGGCCTCAATGGTGATGAAGACTGATTTCTTTATGATGCAAATACAGTAAAGTCTCACCATTGTTACAAGGAGAATCACAGGCTAACTTTGCCGGAAGCAATGATATTATCACTTTGCAGGCAATGATGTGCTGTGTTGTAACCCAGGGGTGATGCTAAATTACACTCTTTAAATCAAGTGAGTTAAAGCACTAAATGTTGTGAATATATACATTTTCTGTGTGGTAGTATTTTGGGCAATGAGATCCATTGTATGTATGGAAACACCTTCTTGCACCAAAAATAATGATTGACTTATTAAACTAGGCTACTTAAAGAATAGATGAGAAATAAATCTGTCACCACTGCTACTTTTCTCATTTAATCAGTTTTACAGTTCCACCCTCATTCCAGCCTTGTAGTTCCACCATGAATATTCATTAATGTAAACATAGTTGCTATGAATAATGCATAATTTGCGGTAATGCATTCAGAACATGCCACCTCAAAGTACTGAGGAGTCCTCGGTGAAGGCTCCAATCAGACAAGTTTTTTCTCTGTGGATAAAGGGAGTTAGAACTAATAAGAAAACTATTTTTTTCTGGAGGTTCATTTCTGAATAAACAATGCAAAACCACAATGCCCTGTTCAAACATAGCACGGTAAAATGGAGATCTCGTTTAAAAAAAACGTTTAAATAATGTTTCTTTTTTTCGGATCAGCACACTTAGCTTTGAAGGCAGGCCATTTACAATAGAGAACCACACGTTGAACCTGTTTTGCTAAATTCCAAGGTACAAGTCAGAGTTCAAGAGCATGTACCATGTACTGTAGATTTCAGGGGTAAACCGACCAAATGGGGGAATTTAACATTTTAAAACGAGATTGAGAAGATCTTATGATTGGTCGATGACCACGAGTAGGTAGGTAGTAACAATTGCCATGTTGTTCCTGATGACTTTGATGTGTCTGGTAATATTGGGAGCATCAGTAAGCATGGATGAACTACTAGGCTATATCTATCAGATACTCCCCAAAATAGATAACATGCCCCCTAGTCACATCACATGGTAGCACATGCAGGTTAACGTCAGTGGGTGAAACTCGGAATAATGTAAGTTACATTATAGCTGTTTTCAGAAATGCATTGGACTCCACAGATCCTCCGTATTTCTCTGGAGGAGGTGCATGTGTGAACACAAAAGATAGAATGAGTTGCTCCACAGTTTCTAAACAAATCACAATGTCTGCACAGCAGAGTTATTACGTCACTTCCTGCCTCTGCCTGCTGCATCTGGCTGCTCAACTTCTCACCTGAATAATGCAAGTATTCTGTGCTGTTGTGAAAGAGTCTGTGCAGACAACCTCCCGCTGTGTTGTGCATGTGTGAAAGGCAAACTCTGGGTAAAGTCCGTAGCCAATTGTCCGGGTTTCTCCAAGCTTTTGTATCAGTCAGAGCTCGCTGCAAAATCTCCAGCAAATTAATCTCCTAAAAAACTGGGAACCCTTTGTATTTAACTACAGAACATTTCATTTTATTATATCATTTTTAACAATTGATTTGTTCTATCTCACATTAGTTTATATAATTGATCCTAGGGCATTTTAAACTACAAAACATTTTAAAGAGACCTCTAACTTTCACAACATTGCCTGTTTGGAGTGCACTTTAGCAATGGCTGCTTTAAAATGGTAATGCAAATAAAAATTACCCATTCATCCTTCATACTTTAAGCCCATTAATGTGTCTGTGGTGACAATGGAACTTTCAATACTAATAAACTGCAGCAGTGAATCATGGCTGAATCAGATATCAGTCCTCTAAAGATACCTTATGTTTGTTTTTTTCGTATTTCGGCTGACAAACAATCCAACATACCAATAATAATAATATTACATTAATACAATAATACACACAACAACAGATTAAACAGAAAACATTACCTCATTCGCGGTGTAATAAATCTGACAGACTTTAATGAGTAGTCGATCAGTTTGTGAGCAGTTGGCGCTTATGGTTAGAAGATACAGTGACCAGAGAGGAAACTAGTTAAAATGTTGCTATGCCAATTACACATGAATAATCAGCAGTTGATGCTAATATCAGCATCCTAGGTGTTAAATTTACATCTGGATTTAGGTTGTCAGCACCAATAAACTGCAGCAGTGAATCATGGCTGACCTGTGCATGTGCTGATTGGAAGTAGTTCAATATTCCTACTTTGCCACCCCTGAAGAAACTGCATTTTAATTTGGTTGGAGTAAAATTTCCACCTAGCCTGTAGGCAGTTTGCTAATGACCACTCAAAAGAAACCACAGTGTCATACAGCAGTGTTACTTTTAATCAGATTGCACAGCATCCTGTGTTTTGTTTCTTTGTGTTGCGTGTTTGCAGCTATTGTCAGATTGTGTTGGTTTGTAAACTAGACCTGGTATTAAAGGCTATTCTAAATGGTTTGGATATCCATGTTGATTCTGCATTAAACAGGAAGTGTACCGTATTTGGTTATTAGGTCAGTTAAATTGAAAGATTATGTCTCACGACCACGCATCCTTTCTGTTCCAAACTCTGCTTAGTGCTCCGACGGGTCTATTTGTGGAAAAAGTGGTCTTGATGATGCAAAGATGAAGGAATATAGGTATCAGGCCAGAATATGGATGTGCTAATTAAGTTTTTGCTCTGCCTCATGTTGAATCTCTCCGCTCACATTAACGGCCCTGCAGTATTCAGTCAGCCTGCTTGTATTACCGCGCTAATGAGATACCTATTTAAAATTCTCTTCACAGGATATTTGTATAATGTATTGTTCCACAGCAGGGTTTTTGCAGACCATTCAACCAAGTAAGTGTACATGTGTTTAGGTGCATGGCTGATAACTGACTTAGCATTCATATTTCCTTTTTTCCCCCATTTGGTTGAATGATGTGATGGTTGAAGAGGTCGTTAGGACATGGACTAATTTCCTGGTGTCTCAGACACACTCTGTTGGGCTGTTTCCGATATTTTACACCAGTGTGCCAACTGTGTACTTTGTGGACACCTTGGTAAACAGCAGACGGGCGCTAAATAACAACTGTTGTTTGAAGGGATGAACAGTGGAGAGTGGTGTGGAGTATAATGCAGTGTTAATTGACTGTTTTACATCAGTGGTGTCAAAAAAAGGGATAGCAGAAATATAAATTATTATTTGATTAAAGCTTTGCATATTTGTGTTTAGGGAGAATAGAAACAGAAAAATATGATTACACAATGATACATGGCTCATCTTTAGTATTTTTTGCTGTCGTGAATCTTGTGATAATAATTAACTACACGTTACAGATAGATTGGACCAGACACCTTTTACAACCTGAGTCGGTTGTAAGACGTTAAAATCACCACTCTGACTGAAAGTTTCTGGAAAGAATGTGAGCAGGCAGATAGAAATATATATTGTGTTAACGCCACCGTGCCCTCTAGGCATCATTAGATTAGGTCAGCTAGTATGTAAATGACTTTGTCCCGCAGTGTGATAAGTGAAGAAGTTGATTCGAGCTTCAACCAGCAGCAGTATTGTGGACTTGGTTGGTAAGCCCCTTCCTCTATAGACCCCAATACAGTCATGCATTCCAGTCCAGTCATTCTTATTCACTAGACACCTGTGCAGCGTCATAGCAAGAGCACCCCCCCCGTGTATTAACACTCCGAGCATGCTGGAAATGAATTTAAAAGGCCCCAAAATGAAATAGTAATGGAATGTAAAGCTAATCTAAATATGCTAATCCCAGAGCACTTCATAAACACAGACAGCAAAAGCCTGCCACCCACTCGCTGTGGTCGCTTGCTGTGGAATGCTTTAGCCACAGGGGGTCTAGCAGTAATGACAGGCTTGTGTTGGATTAATGTGGAGTTATTTATTTCCGTTTGAGCGAGTCCCCCTCCCTCTCGCACCCCTCCGTCCTCCTCCGCCCTTCTTAGCAGTTAGGTCGGGTCTCCATGACTCCTGGAGATTCTCTGAACGAGCAGTCTTGGACGTTCTATTAATGCAGTCTGCTTTACTAACACACCCAGACCACCGCCGACAGGCCTCACACTGCATTCTGGGATATCGTCAGCCTGGTACCTGCTCTTAGCTAATTACTTTTTTAGCCGTGCACTGGCACAATAATTGGTCTTGTGCTGCCGCCCCCCTCCCTCTGCAGCACCAAGAGCTAGTTTGAGCACTTTTTTCACCCTTTTTTTCTGTGTCGTCCTTATTCCCCAGTTTTTTTATCGTCCTCCAAAAGCCATCCAATTAATATGCTAATGAGCTGATAAATATTTATAGGGGTTTAAATTATGCAGAAAGCTTTCAGAGCCCGTTGTGAAATGCGTCGCTCGCAGGACTTCAAAGCCTTGCATTGCTAACGAGGCAGGGTTAGATTTGCATACGGCTTTAATCAGCTGAATACTGATTATGCTTCATTATAGCGTCGGGGTGGAGGGGTGGGGGTGGAGGGGTTGGGGGGCAGCAGAGTTGGAGGAGGCCGCCAGCTGCACTTGTCGTTTGTTTCATTCCAGCAAGAGAAGGAGAGGGCGAACTTTTTCTGAAGTGCAGACAGACTTGGCTCATGAGAGAGAGATGGAGAGAGTGAGTGCGATGGAAGCACTGTAAAGAGAGCGGGGCAGAGCTATAAGAAAAGAAAAGAAAAGAGAGGGAGCGCAGAGCGAGGGAAGGAGAGCTGTTTGCCTAAACCCTGCTGGCTTTCACAGTGAGCGTATCCCAGTGTTGTTCAGTGAACCGTGCGGTGGACAGTGCCACTGTGTCTGCGTGTAGCTCTGCTGGCATTGAACTCTGCTCGCCGCTGACCAGTGGAGAGTGAAGAGAGGGAAGAGTGGGAGGAGGAGCAGAGTGCAGCCTGTCGGTGGGTTTGCCCCGGCGGTGGCAATTTCCCTTGATAGGATCAGCCACCATGCTGGAAAACACAGGTGGAGCAGTTGTGGGTGAGTGTTTGATGAGCTGGGTTTTGTTGCATGTGTGAGACATAGGTTGCTTTAGAATGTCACTTGCAACAGTTTAGTGCATTTATATGACACGGCAGTTGTTCTCTTCTATCACCGGGATTGTAGATGGAGTCTGTTTGTTTTGGTGTTTCATTTTGGCTCGGTAATGTTTGAATGATGACTGAAATGCTAATGTGGAGAATCATGCAATTATGCAAAATATGCAGGTGACGAGAGAGACCACCCCTCAAATAACTGAAACAGGGCTGTGTTATGCTTTTATCGGCGATAGTGTCTCACTATCTGTCTCTGTCTGGCTCTTCCAGATGCTAAAGTGAATAATCAGTCAGAAACTACTAAATGTGCAATGGAAAGTGGTGACGGGAACACCGGTGAGTGACCTCCAGCTTTTTTGATTCCCTTTTTTTTTTTTTCTTTTGCCAGGATGTAATCAGGATGTTTTACCGCGACATTCAACAGGTTTCATAGTCACTGCTGAAATGTACATTGCAGATAAAATCAGAGAAGCTCACTCCTGTGCACCTTTTTTGTACTATTGGATCATTTAAAAAAAGGTGACGGCAGCTTTTTAAAATCCCTGTGAGCAGTTCTCATTTTGTTTCCCTTGTGAAACTTGAATATCACAGTAATTTGTTCTGTCTCAGTGATTCACTGATACAAATGTTTGATGACATTTCAGTGCTAACCTTTATATTTCTGTTGTGTAGCGATGAGTTAAGAAAATATTAATGATACTGTGTGCTTAAATTTTTTTACTTCTCCCACAGAGTTAATATTTAATTTCATGATGATTCAACAGCGTGCGTTTGAACAGATTTAAGCAGCAGTTCTATAACCTTTTATACCTTTACACAATGTGTTATCACCTGTAAAAATGTGTTTTTAAACAAAATTTCCTTTCCTGGTTTCTCATTAATATTGTGTTTAACACTAATAAAATGTCTCTGACCACACGTCTCATGAACCGTGTTTCTGTCCTCAGGAATCCAAACCAATGGATTGGACTTTCAGAGGCAGACGGTGCCAACCACCAGTGCAATCACAAATGCACATGCACAAGCCCTCCTCCAACAGGTAACACATGATGCACACCATCGTGTACATAACCTCATGGGAGTTTTTGTTTTTCTATTTTTGCAGCAGGAGCCTGTCGATTTAAATTACATTCTGGTTTAGTGATACAATTTAATTGCAAGATTTAAAGTAAATGTATGAAGTTTGAACAGAGGTATGCTCATCTGCTCTCACACATGCACAAGCAAATCATTTAAATGAGCCAGCTCTCCTGTTGTCGCCAGGCAACGAGGCAGATTAATCAACCCTGTATGCTAATTAGCTGCTCTGCGGTTGCTCGGAAACAGATGGCCGAGAATATGCAAATCTATGCAGAATTTACATGCACTGCATAACAGTTATTTTAATTAGCATCTCAACTCCCCTTCCTTCGCTTTCCTCGTCTCTGAAGGCTGCAGCACATTTGCAATACCCACCTTCTCACCTCCTTTTTAATTTAAAGTCCTCTCCCTGCTAAGTCTAAAGGCCCATTCTCAGAAAGCTGCTCAGGTACATTTGATCTTTCATTGTGGTTTGAGTTTTATGCGTTTTTTAATGGAAGTCTGTTCAAATTAAATACTCTTTCAGGTTGCTTTTAGTTAAAACATTAAGAAAGTTTGTCATTTCTCAGTTATGCCTGTAGGTAAATCTCCTCTAAGCCCCCTCCCCCCTTCTTTGCTTCACCTCCACTAGTCTAAGTTGGAAGACTCGAGTGCTCTTCCGACCTCCGTCCAGCAGAGTGTATTGCCTCAAACACAGCTAATGTTGGCTGGGGGACAGATTGCTGGAGTAAGTGGCCTGTTGCCTCACTACCTAAAGTTAAAACCCAGTCGTAGCCATGCATCTGGGGTGACACCTGAACGTCAAACCTGGCTGAGAGCTCGGGTGATGAACCCATTGCTCGCCCTGATTCTGTGGCTAAGGCTGGTGTCTCCTCTGCCTGTCTGTCTCTTCATCCTTGTGGTTGTTAGGCTATGTCCAAATTCCTCCATACTCAGAGATGGAGTAACACGTTGGACATAGTCTTCTTGTTTCTACAATCATGGTTGGGCCGACCACACAACACTACTCATGTCCATCTTCTCCCATAAGCTGTCCTGTAGTTGAGAAGACCAGATGGGTTGAATGCGGCTGCTTGCTGTCGTTCTATGCAGGAGTGAATGGATTCTGTGCATGTTGAATGTGTGAGTGTTTGCATGTTCGCGTTCCAACACTACATCACCATGATCATTTGCACTTTTGACTGGCTCAGCTGCATGAGTCTTCCCTCCATTTTGCTTGTCTGGGCTCATATTAGTGTTCCCATGATAGCCAAAGTTTCAATACTACTTCGATACCTTTGTGAAAAGTACAATTTACATAAACGGTCAGTGCCTTAACCAAATGTATTCAGTATGGTGGTGAATCCACTTTGACTTTGCTTGTGAGGGTGTGTACAAATTGGAATAATCAAAATGAGAAATTGGAATAGGCAGAGCTGCGGTCGACTACATGACACTAAACTGGAGCAGCAATTTAAACAGCTGTTGACTGCAGCATCAACTAATGCATTCCCCACCTGCTGTTACTATAACTGGCACCAGGAGGGAACATATTAAGTGTTTATCTCAAGGTACTTAATGAAGATGGATTCCTCGTGAAGGACAATGTGTAAAATTTGTCACACGTTGTTTGTGCAACACAGTCCTGCTCTGGTACTGTAGCAGACATGAAACATAACATGGGTATCGAAGCCAAAACTTGAGTATTGTGACAATATTAGCTTGTCCTGTCTGCATTATACTGGAAACTGATTTTTCTAAAAGAAGCTTATTGTCTTTCTGTTTCCCTTCTATCTATCTCTCTCTCTCTCTCTGAAATCTCCCGTGTCTCTGCCTCTCTGTGAATGTTTCTCTAGTTGACCCTGACCCCAGTACACCAGCAGCTGTTGATCCAGCAGGCCCAAGCTCAGCTCCTTGCTGCAGCCGTGCAGCAGTCAGCCAGCCAGCAGAACAGCACCACTGGGGCGAGCATCTCAGCGTCTGCAGCCACACCCATTTCCCAGCTGTCACAGCCCATCCAGATCACCCAAGTACGACACGATCATGCAAATCCAATCATGCAAAAACATATTTTCACAAAACTTCTAAAAGCTCAAATTCAAATTTGGTTTGCAACACAAAGTAAAAAAGTAGCAGAAATACCCATACATTTGTTTTCCAACTCACTTTATGTATCATGTTAAATAAGACTTTTTTTTCAATAAGACTTTTAGATAGGTTTCAGACCCACTGAGGAGATTATGTTTTCACCCCTGCCCATTTCTTAGTTAGCTGGTTTGTAGGTTTAACCTGTTTCTCTGTTAAAATTAATGCAGAACAGACTTTTGCCAAAATCACAATGATTTATGTAAATTCTCATCATACAACATATAGCTGCCGTACAAGTGAGTGCCGATAATATAAATGTAATAATAAAAAATATTAATTATCCAAATAGTACGCAAACCTCCAAAACACTGTATTCTTCTACTGGGGAGAATAATATTATTGTGTTCTTTCTTCCTCCATCAGATACAGCCGCAGAATCTGCCTCAGTTTGTTCTGGTTCAGCCTGGCCATCCCATCACCACACCCCATCAGTTCATCATCTCACAGCCACAACCCCAACCAGGTAAGTTACACTCTTGCAGTGTATGATTTGCATGCAGAATAAAGTACACAGACGAATTCCAAGAATTGTCATTTAACATTTCTTTGGATCTTGCCTCCCTTGTCTTTCACTCTGCGGGCATATTGCAAGCCCTTCGAAATCTACCTCCAAACCAACATAACCTCCTGCCGACTCAACCTAACATCAACCTTGCAACTCAGGTAAGTAATGAAACGAGCACCTCCACCACCTGGTAAACAGTTTCAGTTATTCAGGTTTAACTTCACCGTTAGTAATCCAGGTTTAAGAATAAAATCACATTACAAAACCTGTGTTATAGCGTTCTTGTATTTTTTTCTACAGTTTTGCAGACACCTCGATAATATATTATATATACAATATTTCGATTGAATATTTCTGCAGCCTGCAACTCCACCAGCAGCCACATCTATTCAGTCCATCCATAGTCAGACACCACCCAAGCGGTTGGATACCCCCACCTTGGAGGAGCCGAGTGATCTGGAGGAGTTGGAGCAGTTTGCCAAGACCTTCAAACAGAGACGCATTAAACTGGGCTTCACACAGGTGAGTGTGTACTGAATAGATTTGTTTTCCTGAGGTCAGTGATTCTCAGAGTTGTAGTTCCACTCACTAAAACCGATTCCCTGGTTTAGATGCCATGTTTGAACTGGATTGAACTAAACTGTGTTGGGCTTGTGGGGGAGACTGAAACAGAATTTTTAAATATACAGCTTGAACTCTGGACATTGAGGCTGTGGGAGACGCACACACACCCTCTTTCCTACTCTTTTGTTATTTGTTTAAGTAGTTTTATGTGAAGTCAAGTCCAACACGTTCTCTAGTGTTCTTCTCTTTACTGTTCCAAATTCTGTTGTTTTAATAAAACCCAGAATTTCCTCCCACACCTTTTCTTACGCACCCACTATACCCCCCCTAAAAAAATGAGGTATTAACCCAACTGTGGATTCTGAGTATTGTTAATGCTCAGCCCTAATATATAAATATTTATTAGTATATATAATACGTTTGCTGTGAGTAAAATTAATTGTGACACTGGCGCTTACATTACCGTCTCGCTCTGTCTCTAGGGTGATGTTGGCCTGGCCATGGGGAAGCTGTATGGAAATGACTTCAGTCAAACCACAATCTCTCGCTTTGAGGCCTTGAACCTGAGCTTTAAGAACATGTGCAAACTCAAGCCATTGCTGGAGAAGTGGCTCAATGATGCAGGTTTGTCCCTGAACCAACCTGAACGAGTCATACGGCATAAGTGGATAACACTTTAAATCCCCTGCATGTGCATCCAGTTGTTTTCCTCACATCTTTCCTTCTCTCACGGAACAGGATGAAGGACCAGTTGTATATCTTTTCAGTACCTTGTCTTTACCTCCCTCCCTCTCCTTTGTGGTGGTGCTGTTTGTGCAGAGAACCTGACATCTGACCAGGCCCTGTCCAGCCCCAGTGCTCTGGGCTCCCCAGGCATGGGCATAGAGGGGATTAACCGCAGACGGAAGAAGAGGACCAGTATTGAGACCAACATCCGAGTGGCCTTAGAAAAGAGCTTTCTGGAGGTGAGAAACTCTTACTCCTTAAGTCACTGATATTGTTTTAACCAGGAAGTATGTTTCTATTCACATTAAGCAAAAGTGAGGGCTGGCCATTTGTTGCTTGTGCAAAATTTAATTTTAAAAGATTTTGACACAAAAAATGGAAATGGGTTCACAGTGGAGAAGTGGGTTGTGCTGCAGGAGTGGTTTTAGGGTGGTGAATGTTTTTTTTTTCTGCCACCTGGCAAACCAGTTTGTCATTATACAATCATCATATATATATTTGACGTGGAGGTAGCGAATGATTTAGTCTCCTCAGTGCTGACAGGGAATCCCTGGCTTCTTTGCCCTCTTCAAGCAGAACCAAAAACCTACCTCTGACGAGATCGCCATAATCGCTGACCAGCTCAACATGGAGAAGGAGGTGATTCGGGTCTGGTTCTGCAATCGGCGGCAGAAAGAGAAGAGGATTAACCCGCCCAGCAGTGGCAACAGTGGAGGACTCAGCACCGCCATCAAAACCATCTATACCCCCAGTAGCCCATTGGTAAGGTTGGACACTCACATGTAATGATACTTGTAGAATTATTTTGTAGAGATGGAGGAAATGTTTTCTTTGTATTTGTAAATGATTGATGCTGAAAAGCGTTTTCAATCCTTCCTCTTGTTCTGTCGCTCAGGTGCCCAGCACAGCAAGCCTTGTGAGCAGTTCAACACCCACCACTCTGACTGTAAACCCAGTGATGCCTCTCACCAGCACCAGTGTCTCCACTTTGACTTTCACAGGTGTGTGTGTGTGTTTGCTTTTAGTTTGTTCCTTATAACACAAAATAATAGAATTCTAGGTTAACTTTTATTTCTTGTATTTTCTCCAAAAGGCACAACAGCTGGAGCTACAAACACTGCATCCGTCATCTCTTCGCCCATGCTTACCACAGCAGCCAGCTCTCCGTCTTTAAGCCCATCCCCGACAACTATCTTGTCAACGAGTGCGGAGAACAAGGCTTTCACCCAGGCGGCGACCATCTTTTCCCAGGCCCCGACATCCATAGCCACCACTTTGGGGTCAGGTCAGGTGATGGTGGCGTCTCCGGGGCTGTCTGCAGCACTGCAGGGGGCTCAGTTACCCACCAGTGCTAGCTTTGCTGCTATGGCTGCTGCTGCTGCAGGGCTCAACCCAGGACTGATGGCCTCCTCCCAGTTCCCTCCAGGGTTAGTACTGGCCATGGTCCAACCGCCCATCTAATCATAACCTCTGTTGATCTTGCTCAGTTGCTCTTCTCCTTTGACTTATGTGATCTTCATCTATGTCTGTGTGTGTAGGGGGGCCCTGCTCAGTCTAACTGGTGGCCTCGGCAGTGCATTGAGTCCTGCCTTCTTGAGTAACAGCACCCTGGCCACCATTCAAGGTTTGTACTATCACCACAATACTTCAATCCACTTCCTGTGCAACGTATGGAGCTGGGGTTCCCAACCTTTTTGGATCTTTTGACTGTTTTTCTATTTTCAGAGTAAAACATGCTGCATAAACTAGAGGATGAGCATCAAAACTGAATATTAACTTTATGAATGTCATACAGCATTTCATAATGGTCTTTTGAAAATGAATCCTGCTGTGCATCAAAAGATTTTGATGATTAATGAAACAAATCCTGCACTAAATCCACCACCTGCTTATTCTGTTCCACATTCTCCACAGCTCTGGCATCGAACGGCACAATCCCCATCACTTCTCTGGACGGCAGCAACCTGCTGTTCGCCAACACCTCTGCCGGCAATGGGCCCAACATGGTGACCTTCCTGAACCCCCAGAACCTGTCGCTGCTCAACAACCCCGTCAGCCTGGTGTCCACTGGGGTGGGGCTGCAGGTCGACGCTCACCATCAGTCCACGGCCGCTGTGCCTGTGCAAGCCTCAACCATTCCCACCGCCTCGAAGGCTCAGTGAAGCCAGTCCGGCTGCATCCCGAGTTAACGCCCTATTTCTTATGTCGTGCACTACTCTTATCACACCATATAGGGAATAGGGAGGTCGTTAAAAGCTCTGTGCTTCACTAACCACGCCACATTCTTTCCTTTTTATCTATCATTATTTAATCCTTTTGCTGCCACCAAAAAGAAAAGAATCTCAAATGAGGTTGAGGTTAACTTTTTGCTTTTTTTGCTGTCTTTTCCTTTATGATTCTTGGATGTTTTTTTCCACACACAGTTGCCAGATGGACACTGTTGTTGGCCTGCCGCTCCTCATGAACCTTGACAAGTGTCCAGGAAGAAAATATCCTCGGCACCATCAAGCTGTTCACATGTCGCGCGTGTGTGTGTGTGTGTTGTGTGTTGTGTGTATATATATACATATATATATATATCCTCCTCTTTCCAGGTCAGAATTTTCTCTGAAATACTTCTAACCAAAAACTTTAGGATTTTGCTCTTTTAACATTCAAACTAAACAGATTTATTACTAATTTCACAATGTTCATCATCACTAATGGGGATTTGTGTGTCGACACCCCATCTTTAATTATTTTGGGTTTTTTGGACAGGCCTTGATGTAAATCATATCAAAGTTATATTTTAGAGACTTTTTTTTTCTTTTTATCTTTAGTGTCTGTATTTTTTGACATTTTCAGAACTTTGTAAGTCTAATATTAAGTTAAGATTAACTATCACTTTTTAATCGTGGTTATAAGGCTTTAATAACAAGTAATAAGTGGCCGATATAAAGGTTATCATTGCTTTAAGGGTCGGAGGGACCAGGTGTGTCTCTCTTGGTCTCTCTTTGTGGAAACACTGAGTTTTGCATCATGCTACAGTAGCGAAGTAGCCGCTGAGCTTGTGTAAAACGGCGGTTTAGGTGCGGATCATAGACACTGACAGGAAATGACTGAAAACATGATGTTGACAGCTTTAAAAAAAAATAAGAGCTGCAGACATGCAATCATGTGTCTGAAGGGTGATTTCGTTTTGGTTGTTGATCCGGTGGAAAACTGTACATTATGTTTGGATTCAGAGGTAGAAGGTAGACGTCTGCATGCGTTCTCTCCAGCTCAGGCAGATGCTGAGAGTTCAGTAACTGCGTTAAGGCTCTGCGACCATCTGGTCTGTTTTGTGGAGGACTAGTCACGGGACTTGGTCATCATACTAAACGTGTGGTGATTGGCTAGGCGAGGTTATTGTATTGTGGGTGTTTTTTTGATTTCTTTTCTTTTTTAAAACTAGTACCGTTGTATCTACTTGTGCACAGTATCTGTACCAAAAACTGGATTGATGAACTGCAGTCTGCCTTTTGGGAGGAATGGAATTCTGTCTTTCTTTTATTTTTTTTTGTCTGCAGTCACATGGCTGGCTTACGTACTTTAAGATATACCAAAAATATTTGTTAAAATAATTGCTGTGTGTAGTCGGTGTCGCTTAGTCTAGTCAATATATTTATGAGAACAGAATCTCTCTTCATTGTCAACAGATATTAGAAATGCAATATTTTGATGATCATTTTCCAAAGATGACCTTTTTTTAAATATTTTTTTTTTATTTGACCAAGTGTCTCATAGCTCAAAGTTTAATTGGCAGCACAACTGACCAAAAAGAGAGGGACTGTTGGTTTGGGGCATGAGAAAGTATTTTCCTTTTTTACTCTTTTTGAATTGATTTTTCTCTCAGCGGGTTCTGGCCCCTGACGCCTGATTCTGGTTTCCTTTCAGCCATTAATGGCTTGTTTTCCTTCTTTAATCAGTTTTTGGCCGTTTCGGTAGCAGTTTTGGACTTTTCTGAAGCAAAAAAGAAAGGTTCTGTTGTTTGGTTTTGTACTAATATTCAGCCATAAAAACAACAGCTTGAACCAAAGTGGTTTTTCTCAGTAGTTGCTGTGCCTGTCCGAGCACACAAGTTGCTGTTCGTCTCTACTTCTTCACGCCGCTGAAAGCAAAATATTCCCCTCGTCGCTCACCTCGATCAACACCTGATAATTCCTGATTTGGTGCTGCTGGAACAGGATCATAGAAACTTAGCTTTAACAACTTGCTGCTGAAGCTCCTGGTGGACTTGTGCTGTCGAAAGGTCTGCATGCTTTCCTATAGCTTTATGACTGCTTCCTGTGCTCTGCAGGCTTTGTGGTTTGGACGCTCCCATCTTAGAGGGCTCACCTTTGTAAATGCATAGATCGGATCATAAGATGGTACTACACCTCCTCTCAGCACCACCATTTTAAACCAGCATGTTCAGAAACAATATGCTGCTCCCTAAATCTGTCTGTGGGCTATGATATTACCCAACACAGAGTCAGGCTAAATACTCGTATGTGCTGCACATTTGACTAAATCCCAAACAAAAGTAGCATTGTTCTGCTGCTTCCAAATAAAAACAGTGATTCTGATCAGATCACTGAGACTGTAAGCAGCAAACATTTGTGCTTGTTATGCTCCTGTGTACTTCTTTTCTGTTGTCAATTTACTTTGACTGAATATACCTCAGCAGCACTTAAACATAAGGTTCACCCTTAGACATTTCTGTGTATAGACCAGTGTAGAATGTATAAGTACTGTCTGGAGTACCATTCAGAGTTTATACTGATGAGACACACATAGGAACCATACATAAAAAGACAACCTACTACTGCTATTTTCTAGTACTACTATTTATGGGGTATTTCCAGGTTTGATTATTATTTTGAGATCCTTCTTGCCAAAGTAAAAGCCTTTCTCTTCGCAGCTCGGCGGGTGTCTGGCTGCTCATAGTTTTCTCCGTCTTTGAGGCCACGATGGGCCGAAAGGACTCGGTCCTGCTCCAGTGCTGTTCGTAGTTACTAAGAGTTGAACATGTGCTCGCAAGATGAACCAGTTGCCATTGGTATCATAGGATGTTACTGAAATATTTATCTGAGGAAAGACTGAAGAATTAGAGAAACAAACCTTTCTTAATTCTATACATATAAATATATATATAAACACGTGTAAGATATTCATATTTTATATTTGAACTAGTTATCAAGACTGAATGTAGTGTTTACCATGCGTACTCAAAAAAAATCTCCCCTAAACTTTTTATTATTGCGGAAAAAAAAGTAATTCATTCATTTTTTAAACTGTCAAGACCAAAAAAGTAAGAGAAGAAATCTGAGGCCCTGGCGGAGCGTGAGCCGCTGACACCTGTGTCTGTCATGTATCGACCAGGTCTTTCCAGCAGGGGGGGTCTGGTTCAGGTGCTCCTGGCAGAAAGGTCCTGTTGTCTGGTAGGAGATTCTGAGGCATCCGATCTTTATCTTGTCATAGATTCTTTTGGTTTTTGGTTGAGTCATTGTAAACTTGATTTGCTGTGCTGTCTTTAACAATCATTTGATTTTTTTATATTACTTTATGCCTTTAATTAGGTTGTATAGTGTGAGAGGGCAAGATCACTGGCTTTCTTAGTTTGACAAAGATTAACATTATCATTTATGCCTTATTGTTACGTAGAAGACATGAGCATTGTAGCATTGTTGTTGTGTGTGTGTGTGTTTGTTTGTGTGTGTGAGTGTGTGTGTGTGTGTGTGTGTGTGAGAGCTCACCTGGTGCATTGTTTTCACTGAAACAATACAGTGTACTTTGGGCATTTTTGGCACTTGGGATGATTAAGTTGCTACCTATGATTTTTAGGTGTGACTCAGACAGGTTGATGATACCTGTGAGAAAAGCTTTACTAATAATTCCAGCAGGTGGGTGTGTGTGCGTGTGTGTGAGTGTGAGAGAGACAGCATGTCTTACAAAGAGAGTAAAGTGAGGGCAGTCTGTAAACCATTATAGTGCATTTTTCCCATCTTCCAGCGAGTGTTTGAGTGGTTTTTAAATAGAGGTGAGAGACACAAACTTATTTTGTTGTTTGTCCAGGGGAGGGTTGGGGGTTCCTCTACTGATCAACTAGAGCCTTTAAGCAAGCCAGTTTTTGGTTTCTAATGGTAAATCTGCAGTTTGTGTTCTACTTGTGTTCTTATTTGCTAAGAGCTGATGATCTTCTTGCCACTGACTCTGCTTTGACACTTTGGGTTTCAGTTGGTGATTCTGAGATTTTTTCATAACGCTTTCGTGAATCGGGCCACGCATCAAGTGGCCGTACGTTGATTCACCACACTGGTTTGCGGGTCTTTACACGTTGACTAAGGCAAAAGGAGCTGTTGTATACCTCATTTCTAACTCGAGACTGAGTGAAACCTGCTTTAATCTACTTAACAAATAAGATAAATATTTTATAAAATCTCACACAAAAAATGATGAAAATACACAAACTTGTGTCAGTGGAGCAGCGCGGTCATACCTGTACTAGGGGAAGAGTTGAGGAAAATGTCGCCACAAGGGGGAGACAGAATATGTACCAGTACTCATGAATGTCTGCTGTTTTTCTTTCTTTATGTTGCACACTGATTTATTTCAACATCGGCCAAACATGACATGTTTTTGTCAGGTTAATGTTGCTCTCTGTTATAAATATTAACCACTTGATTGATATGGTGTAGGTAGAAGTGCATTTTAATACCCCCTCCATCTTTCTTTGAGTTTGACAATCTCTCCGTTTTATTTTAACCCCCCCCCCACTCTGACCTGGTACAGGTATGTTCACGTCTTCCCACGTGACGGTGTGCTGTCGCAGCCCGCTCTCGCTTCCCTGTGGTACCAACATTAACCAAAGACTTCTAACTTGATTGTAAACGAACGACACCCTCCCCCACCTATCCCCGCCTCACTGCTCAGAATAAAATCCCGGTTGCACGAACTTGATTAATCTATAAAAAAAAAAATAAATAAAAAAAGTTTCCTTTTTATTGCATGCGAATGTGTATCTGCCCGGAAGAAAGAACCCCTCCGGCCTGTCGCTGGTGCAGTGGTTTCAGTGCCTGTGGGCGGGGATCGGCGGGGGTTTGAACGGGAGCTGAGCGGGCTTCTCTCCGACAGACACGAACCAATCTGGTGGTAGCTGGGTGGTGTTTGTTAATACACACTGAGGGTTAATCCTGCGCACACTGTACATGCTCAGGACTCTGTATGTTTATCTGTCTTGAGCGCTGTTGCTAGGATGCTCCCCACCTCCACTCTCTCCCTCCCTCCCTCCCTTCCTCAAGGACTGTGGTGAAAATGCTGTTCCTGCCTCTCACAGTGTGTCCGTCTCTTCCTTCTCACCTGTACACTGTAGTCCCAGGACATTTACCCTGTTGTCTCCAGGAATACACATCCTGCGGTCGCTAAAACTCACTGCTGTGTCCCCTCCTCCTCCTCTTCCTCCCTTTTCCCCTTCAGCTCCGCTCTCTCCTTTGACATTGTATCTTCACTACAGACTCTGATCAGCTGTGACACTATGCATCATGGTCCTTCACTCTGCATGGACTGTGTCCCTCCGGCTCAGACCTCGGGCCAACGGGCTTCAGTGACACTTTGTTTAAGGCTTTACTCTAATGTGCGGTCGTAGGACCTCACGAGCGCTATCCCAAAGCAAAAAATCCAAATATTTAACTTTTGACAAATGCAGATACCAAAGATATCTCTCTGTCCTGTCTCTCTCTCTCTCTCTCTCTCTCTCTCTCTCTCTCTCTCTCTCTCTCTCTCTCTCTCTCTCTCTGTTTTCTGTCCCTTCCACCCTGCAGCATGTGTATTAAGAGACAAACCCAGCACTGGCTTTAGTCCTAGCCTCAGTAATTCCAAAGCTTAGATGTATATTTTGGTATATTTCTGAGAAAAACTTGCGTGAAAAGCGTCTGTTTCTCGTTTGTTTGTTGTAATCTCTCTTTTCTGTCACAGCATGGAACTAATTGCAAAACTGTCTTACTCTTGGTAGGTGAAAGATATAGTATTTTTGTATGTTTTTGGGTGTGTTGTGTGTGATTATCAGTTCACAGCCCAAGTGACCATGGCTTTCAACAAAAGAGAAAACTAAGAAAAAAAACAACCTGCCAACCATGTACATAATAAGTCTGTATCTCAAGAAATTCTTTCTGTAAACAACAACTCATTCTGGAAGCTTGGGTTCATCTAAAGGAATGTGTCCCTGTTTCCCCCCTTTTTTTCTTATTCTGCAGTCCGATAAGAATTGACTCTCCGGGACTCTAATGTAAAGTCTTGGGTTTCCATCATGGACTATAACACTGAGGGACACTGCTCCGATCTTACTACAACATATAAAAAGACAAAAAATAACAAAAAAAACAGGCCTCCAGTCATGGCGGCATAGAACTGAAAGATTGTGTAGGAGTTTTAAGTATGTGAATCAGGATACATAGTAGTTTTTGATGCATTTGTCTGCTGTATTTTTGTTTGTTTTGTTTTATACACCTATAAAGATAATCTTTTACTGTAACTGTACAGTTCTCTTTTGTTGTAAACATCATTAAACCATTTTCCAAGTGTTTTGACATGTGCTTTGTCTTTTATTGGGATTTACTCGCATGATATCGTATCAGATGCAGATCAGTTGACATAAACTTGATTACACACATTCGTGTTCCCTGCTAGGATTAAATACACTGCACGTTTCTTACTCATTTGTCTTTCGGAGGCTGAAATATTAGATATTGTTGTGATAATATACAGCATGGCTTTATAGTTGCTGAATATTGTACATTAATAAATGCACAAGAGTTTCCTTATATGTCCTTACAACTATAATATAATGTGTTGTAAATGTTACAGCTTTAGAGATACTTGTCATGAAATTGTATTTAATATACAGAACAACTGTAATACAATATGTATTTAAAATAGCTATATAATGTACATAATAATTACATGTTATCTCCTCAACTAAATTATAATCTGTTAGAAACATTATTAAATGTCTAGAAATACAAGCCAAGAAATTGTGAGTTTAAAATACATACACTTTAAATAATGTAAATTGCATTTGTAATAATGTACATGTCTTCATAATAATTCCATACCATATATTAAATATTTTTTATTTTATATCTCCTTACAACTATACTATGTGATATAAACATTTATTAAATGTTTATTTGCCTTTAGAAATGGTAGACAGGAAATATACATTAATCACTACTTGTACTTGTATATCTACTTTCAACTATATTATAATGTGCTGTAGTATGAACATTGATGAGCTGTTTATACACGTTTAGAAATACCACAAAAAATGCTGCATTCATTTTTTATTTTCTTTATTAATTTCAGCTTTTAGGCTTCAATGTAAGAAAACAGAGAACAAACGGAAAACTGTGACTTAAAATAGAGAAAATTGCCTCAAATTTCTACATTTTAGAAGCTGGATCCACAGAATATTTGCATTTTGTCTTGATAAATAACTCAATCATTTGTTATTTGCTATCATAAAACAGTAGATGCTTATCTTATCTGTGATTGATTGATTAATCTGTGAATAATCTAATCTCAGCCGTAGTGAACAGTGGGGCCTGTTGCCCCAGCAGTGATGATGCAGGACATCAGGGGGGAGACGGAGCTGGAGGTCGGGCTGTGGTGATCAAAGTTTCATTATCTGTCTGCTCCGGCTGCGTCGACTGCGAAAGATGAGAGAAGGACAAAGATCAGTCCCACACTTTAATCTGCACGTTTCCGTTCACACTGACCACAGAGCAGAGTTCACCAGAAGACTCTTTTTAAAGGGACAGTTCAATGAAAAATAAAAGATTCACTCATTATCTACTCACCACCAGAGTGGGTGAAGTGTGTGAGTCCAAAGAAAACCTTTTGGAGTTTCAGGGTTAAACAGCGTTGCAGCCAAATCTAATACAATTGAAGTAAATGGTGAGCGATTCTTCAAACGTAGAAAGAACCTAAATGCGTCCGTACTGCTCCTGTGGTGTCGTCAAGTGTCTGTGAGCCCCTGATTCAAATTCAACTCAAAACAAAATCACTTGCAGCCTAAATGTTGCTGTTGTCCTCCAGAGCCGTGTTCACGTGTGGACATCAGAGGACATTTAGGATCAAACATGGTGTAAATGATGCTGTTTCAAGTTGAATTTGAATTTTATTGGATTTGGCTGCAACGTTGTTCACCCCTGAAACTCCAAATAGTTTTGTGGACACCTTTAACACAATGGAGCCACCGTTAATATTATTGGTAACACATGGTTTTGCTACTATGACAAGTCCAAAAGTTTCATGTGAAAAAAAGCAGATGGGAAGAAATTTGTCTTTATCTTTTTATTAAAACGAGATCAGGGTTCACCTTAACAAGTAATAATTTGAATAACTGTAAGATATATGAATAAATCCTCTTACCACAGGTTTCTTTTTCTTCCTTGGATTTTTCTAGAGATGGAATACAACATGATGATTGACAGTTTTGATGCCTGAACAGTTGAGAAAGTGACATTCAGAAGTTTTAATCAACAGAGAAAAGTGACTTACTCTTCTTTTTGATGGTTCAAGCACCTGATACGGATCAGTATCCTCTGGTCTCCTAAGCTCCTACAGAGGAAAATATGAATAAATAAATAATAAATGATAGTTTAGTAGCAGAGGTTAACATCGTGTGTGTTTAGGGGGTAAGAGTCTTTTTTTACCTCGTAAATCCTGCCTTTTTCTTCCTGTTTATTTAGGGGAAATACACAAATAATCCAAATATTATACACGTTTAGTTTTAGTTATTGACCAGACAAGAATTATTCTTTTTATTGTCATGAGAAGCCACCGCCAAAAATAAAAAAAGAATGTGGGTTGAGAAAAAGAGACTCACAGGTTCTACAGGTTCTGATGAGAACTACAGAGGGACAAAGACAAATCCATTAAACACTTAATATATATTTTTACTATTCTATGATGTAAAATCTAACAATAACAGTCAGTTAAAACAAACGACCGTGCCATAGTAACTGTTGAGAGTTAAATTCTTTCAACACTGAAATACAT